AAAACACCAAGGTTAGCATTCCATGAACATGCTGGTTTTCAGGAAAAAAAATCCTAGAAGAGAGTGAAATAGCAGCTCCGAAAGATTTTTTTTCTTTGCTTTTTTCTTTTCTTGAGGACAACCAAAAAAAGTCTTTTTCCCCCCCGAACTACTAGAGAAATATCACTAATACATATAGATATAAAAGCAGCATAGAAAGATACAGGTTTCTCATCAACTAGGAATAAAGAGACTAAATGCGGGCGTATGGTTAAACTACAATGCATCTTCACATTTGTCCAACACATTTACAAGAAAAACACCATTGGAAACCTCACAGGACAGAAGTGTTTTCACACGAAGAGAACTACTCGTCTTTAATTAAAAAATCTAAACAGGGCAGGGTTGAAAATTTGGAAAGGGGCTGGAGCTGGAGCCACCATTTTTTAAAAAGTATTTTTCAATATAAAAATGAATGAGCTGGAATAGACCCAATGTCTTATTCTGTGGAATCTCGCAAAAGTGAATAAACGTGGAATGGGTTAGTTAGGGCAGCGACTGATGTCAGAGCTGCCAGAATGCTAATTAACTGCAGGCTGAATCTCTTAACCTGTGTGTGTGTGTGTGTGTGTGTGTGTGTGTGTAAAGGAGCTTTTTGTATTAGGGCTTTTTTTTTTTCTCTCTCTTGCTGCTGTATCCATACATCCCACTGCAAATCATCTTTCATTTTTCATTCTGTTGACCTGGATATTATTTCTTTTCAGAAACTGGGGGTGGGGGGGAGAGGGGGGAAACGAACATCTGTTTCTCCTTCCAATATGCTGCACATATGTGTGTTTTGTAGCGGGTCTTCAGAGTTCAGTTAGCAACCCATGGACGCCATTCATCTTCTTGTTAAAGCGTCTACCACTGTAGCCAATGCTCATGCCCTGGAGGGTTTTCCTCTGTTTTTTTCCTTTTTTCCCCCCCATTATTGTATATCAGGAACACTGTGTCTTAATCTTAGCATTTTGCTTTCAACAGCAATTAGCAATCTCTTGGTTTGCTGTTTGGTAAAGCATCGGTTAATGAGGTCATCTAGTTTAAAATCCCAGCTACTGGCGAATAACAGGGAGGAGGTCAAATCTATCATTTCATGTTATATTCTCTGCTCTCTTTTCAGTTCTCTAAGGAGGAGATTATCTTTGTTATCCACAGTAAGTCCTTACGACCCGTGACTGGCCCTCTGTCTTCCTACCGGGTAGGTTCTCTCTTGCTCAAGGACTGCAATAGGAAAGTTCATCTACACACAAACAAACAAACAAAAAGAACTTCGAGCATCTGAGGATGAAGAATTGGTTTCGTGTTGGTTGTGTTGTTGTTTCCTTGGACAGTTCGGAGTTCACATCTAGCGAGGGGTTGTCTCTATGGTGGACGGGGTCCCCGGGGTGGTTGACCTCGGGGTGGCTGCTGGTGGGGTGTCCATCGGGCTCCCGGCCCCGCTGCTGGGCGTGACCGAGGAGCTGACGGCGGGCGTGTCCCCCTGCGGCTGGGCCTGCAGGGTCTGTCCACAGATGTGGTGGTGCTTTTCCCAGTCTTTGTGCTGGCAAAACGAGCCGCAGTACCGAGCCGTGTTGCAGCCGCTGCAGGTCTCACTCGCTTTTCGGCCACAGTTCCAGCAACTCTAAGGGAGAAGGCAAAACAAAGCAAAATCCCAAATGAATCCACTGTCCAAACCGAGGTCTGGGGGACTGTGCTGGGAAGCACTGCCCCCTTTCCTTTTTTTTAAATACATTTTTATTGGTTTTGGAGAGGAAGGGAGAGAGAGAGAGAGAAACGTCAATGATGAGAGAATCATTGACTGGCTGCCTCCTGCTCGCCCCCTACTGGGGATCAAGCCTGCAACCCGGGCATGTGCCCTTGACCGGAATCAACCCCGAGCCGACATTCTATCCACTGAGCCAAACCAGCTAGGGCCTGCCGCCTTATTTTCAAGAACTCTGTGGTAAGAATGAAAACTCCAGGCGTATGTGTGTATACACACTAAACACACAGAGATGCAGGTTTTGGTGTGATGGCTGCCCAAACATCTCTGCCAACCACTCTTGTGACATCTCACACACTGGCTGGAGCTGCTTTCTGCTTTAACTGTAAAGTCCCTTCCTTTTAGGTTTGCTGTATCTACCGCATTTTCCCACCTAATACCAGTACCGCCATGGTCGCACACAAATATATCGCTCTTGGCAGAGGCATCTTCCTTCCAGATAGAACAGAAATTACAAAGGGCCTACAAGAACCCTATATGAGACTCAAAGAAATGTAACGAAGATAGAGTATTCTATTCCTGGCTCTATCAGACAGAGATTGAGATAAGACCCCCTTTAACCTCTCCGTGCATTTAGTTGTCCCCACTGCACTCAGTCATTCAGTGTACCTGATAAGCAAACTCAGTTTGGTTTGCTTGTTCTCTAAGCGCCCAGAACAGTGCCTGATATATATAACAGGTGCTCAATAAATATTTGAATGAATCTGAGTATACTTCATTTGACTTTGAGAAACTAGAGATACTAAAACTGCATAAATAATAAGGCATTTTATTTACATACAATGCATTGCAGTTGATGGCGTTCCTTCTAGCTTAGCGACTCTGTGTAGTCAGAAAAGTGGAGGAAACGAAAAACTTAGACCTTAGCAAGCCCGATGCTAATAGTGCTTTCAAGAAGTGAAATAAGCTCAAATGAGGTTGCCTCTGAGATTTAAACTTTGAAATAGTCACATCATGAATCAGAGCACAATGTATTAGAGACGGAAGAGCACCTGCATAGGACAGATCGCAGGGAAGAAAGGAGATTTGGGGAGGAGCTAAAAGGTAAAGTCCCTCAGGCACCCTAGGAGGGGGTGAAACCTCAGGAAGCCCACTTTAAATTTCCTACAGTAGTTCCTTTGGAAAGACCAACCCCATTGCAAATGCTATATAAGGGGATCTTAGCCCTGTGCAGTCATCTTTTTAAAAAAATATATTTTAAAATACATTTTATTGATTTTTTACAGAGGGGAAGGGAGAGGGGTAGAGAGTTAGAAACATCGATGAGAGAGAAACATCGATCAGCCACCTCCTGCACACTCCCGACTGGGTATGTGCCTGCAACCAAGGTACATGCCCTTGACTGGAATCGAACCTGGGACCCTTGAGTCCGCAGGCCGACGCTCTATCCACTGAGCCAAACCAGTTAGGGCCAGTCATCTTTTTGTCTTAATCTTCCTTGGTTTTGGTTATTTCCTTGCAAAACAAACTTCTGTTGAGTGCAATGTAATGATCTTTAGTGTGAAGTTAAGTTGTGTGACCTTCTGTAGAGTTCTTTTACTTTTGGGAATGGCTGTGTCACAATTAAAATGCATTTTTTAAAAGTCCTAATATATAAATATTAAAAACCTCTCCACTGTGTGCCCTGCACTTGTTTTACTTTTAGCATGCTGGTTGTGTGGCTTCTGGTGGGTTCGTGAGCCTACCCTGAATATCCCAGGGGAAGGTCAGCCCGCCACCCTAACATGTGTGGCTTTACCACCATGCAAAACAGGCAGAGAAATGTTTAGCAGTCCTCCTAACTTTGCTAGGAAATAAAGGGCCTTCTGGAGTTTCACGTGTTTAAAGCCTAGGAACTCCAGAACTCAACTTTAAAACTTCTAGAAAGAGCTCAGCTCTACATTCTTATTTCTTTATTATTCAGAAATTATGGCCCCAGGAAGGGGGAAAATAAAATCCAAAAAAACCTCAAGATCTCAAACGCTGGTCCATGGAGGTGTTTTAAAGGAACATACCTGAGGAAATACATGTTCACATCGTGAAATAAAATAAAATTACAATTAACAATCAGTACTGGCACAAATTTTTTTTTTCTACTTTAATTTAACCAGGAAAATAACTCAAAAGATGTGTACTTCTGATCCGAGGTTTCATTGCAAAACTTGAAGCCCTTCTTCTTCAAAATTAATTCCATTGCATTTGCATGTACAAATGACCCCATAAAGTCGTGGACAAACGTGGGCCTGGCCCTTAGGAGCCGTGAGGTGACACGACACTCAGAGTGAAGTTTAATTCCTGGAAGTTTAGTCACTTTTAAAAAATATATATATTTTATTGATTTTTTTTACAGAGAGGAAGGTAGAGGGATAGAGGGTCAGAAACATTGATGGGAGAGAAACATCAATCAGCTGCCTCCTGCACACCTCCTACTGGGGATGTGCCCGCAACCAAGGTACATGCCCTTGACCGGGATCGAACCTGGGACCTTTCAGTCCACAGGCCGATGCCCTATCCACTGAGCCAAACCGGTTAGGGCGGTTTAGTCACTTTTAGAAGAATGCCAGGTGGATCGTGGAACAAACGCAGCAAATACTTGAAATTACTAAATGACAGCAGAAAATTCCAATTAGAGAACAGAGACTCAGATCCAAAACAATATTTTAAGGAAATTAAATATCTATGTAAGTCAAGTGGCTTCTTTAAAATACACCCTGGTGTGAGGGTATTCTCTGGCAGAGGCACATTTTGGCAGACACAATAGTGGTAACTGCCTGAGACTCAACGCAACCGTCAGATTGAAATCAGATGGCAACCTCCTCCATTTCAGCTGATTAAACACACAGGCTACACACCAGGTAATTACAGAGGCATGTGTTGGGGGGTTGGATAGAGGAGACAGGATGGGGACTTCTTTTATTTTTAAAGTGTTTTCAAAGATGGGAACAATTTTACAAATAAAAAAAAATGGAATTATGCCAAATATAGAAACAGATGTTTTGGATCATGAAGCTGCTGGGAATTGAGTCTTCGTGTCTTTGTACGGCCGGATTCTGACCCAGGATTCAAGGGCTCTTGCTAATTTTACCTCTATCCCCATTCCCAAGTTGTTGGATCAGATTCATTTACCACCCACAGCTGGGAAAAAACAACCTTCAGCGGGAGGAAGGTACAACAAAGAGCAATTCAAATGACCTGGTGGGGAAAGACACAAACGAACCACAAATTTTTTCCTCTTGAC